CCAGAAACAAATCTCGGCGCTCTGCGCAAAGCTGTCGCCGCCGCTGGTGACGCTGCTCGCCAAGGGCCCCGAAGGTGCAGTACCTGGCGCTGCGCAACGCGCTGCTGATTCTGCAAAAGCGACCCGAGGTGCTGCGCAACGACATTCGCGTCTTCTTCTGCAAGTACAACGACCCCATCTACGTCAAGGTGACCAAGCTGGAGCTCATCTTCATGCTGGCCAACGAGAAGAACATTGACGAGGTGCTTACGGAGCTGCGCGAGTACGCGACCGAGATTGACGTGCACTTTGTGCGCAAGGCGGTGCGGGCCATCGGCAAGCTGGCCATCAAAATTGAGCCGGCGGCGCGGCAGTGCATCAACCTGCTGCTGGAGCTCGTATCAACCAAGGTGACGTACATCGTGCAGGAGGCGACGGTAGTGATCCGTAACATTTTCCGCAAGTACCCGAACCAGTACGAGTCGATCATTGGCACCCTATGCGAGCACCTCGACTCGCTCGACGAGCCTGAGGCCAAGGCGGCCATGGTATGGGTCATTGGGCAGTACGCCGACAGGATCGAGAACAGCGAAGCGCTGCTTGAGGATTTCCTCGACTCGTTCGCCGAAGAGCCGGTCGAGGTGCAGCTGGCGCTGCTGACGGCGACGGTTAAGCTGTTCATCCAGCGGCCGACCAAGGGCCAGGAGCTCGTGCCGCGGGTGCTCAAGTGGGCGACGGAGGAGACGGACAACCCGGACCTGCGCGATCGGGCCTACATGTACTGGCGGCTGCTGTCGACAGATATGGCGGCGGCCAAAACGATTGTCATGAGCGAGAAGCCGCCCATCACGGCCGAGTCGGAGCGCCTCGACCCGGCCACGCTCGAGGAGATGTGCCTCAATGTCGGCACGCTGGCGACCGTCTACCTCAAGCCCGTGCAGACTGTGTTCCGGTCGGCGCGCGCCCGCAAGCTGCTCGACTCGCCGGCGCTGCAGAAGCAGTACTCGCGACGGCTGAGAAGCAGAAGAGCCTCAGCCAACTCGGCCTCGGCGTCAGCCGGCCGACATTGATGTGCGGAACCGGGCGGCAACGCGGCGACGGCGGTCGGCGTGGCGCGACATCGGCGCGGTGCGCCCTGGCACGCCCAACGGAGACGGCAACGGGAACCTTGCGCAGCGCGGTCAACGACGCGGAAGGTACTTTGCGGGCATCGGACCGCAGCAAATGGCGCCATGCGTGTGGACGACGCGATGTGTTTGGGGGCAACGGCGGGTACGAGACGGGTTATGTGGTGAACCAGCACGCGCCGCAGCAGGTGGTGCAGCCGGCGCAAGGGGCAGGGAGTAACGGTGATCTGCTGATGCTGTAGAGATGCGGTGAATATATCCCAGTTCGTTTATGCTGTACTTTTTGTGTTTTCCATGCCCTCTGCTGCTTTCCCTGCTTAAACTCATATGTGGCGTATTGCGAGGAACGGGGTACATGCTCGAAGAGGCGTCGAGGCCATGTCCTGAGCATGCTGGCAGTGGTCGTTAGTTCATGTAGTGAACCGTAGGGATTCCTCCTGGAGCACCTTAGAACGGCCACAGACAAGGTACGGCACACTGCAGAAGGTGGGGAACACTGGGGCGGCTTCCACACCTGCAAGATTCCGTAGGTATTGTCGAAGCATACCATGTTGGCGGGGTCGAGCGTCATGGTCTGAAGTCAGTCTCGTGACGCCGTGACGCCTTCTTCGGCAGGACCCGATAGTCCAATGAGGAGAGGTGAAAAGTGCGCCATTGAATGATCTCAATGTTCACTTCATGATGCTTGCCTGCCTGTCCCATGAGGAGCATGTCGAAGAGCAATGGCCCAAACAGGAGGCGTGGTCCAGCTCGGACTGTCGCCAAGACGGAGGATCCTGTCTGTGAGGAATACGTAGGTCGATGTTGTACCTGCGACCGAGCGGCTGGGCGCTGAGGTGCAGTAGCAAGAGCTGCCAGGCCTATCTGGGCTCTCCGAAGGGGACCGGAGGCCCTGAGGCCCCCAGCTCTTGAGCTTGCCAGGCTGTCGACCTTCCCGAAGGTACCTAGGCAGGACCCTAGGCAGGACCCTAGGCAGGACTTTAGGCAGGTACCTAGGCTCCATGGGCAGGAAGGCAGGTAGGTCCGTATCCATGGAATGGAAGGCGAGAAAAGTACTCCCTCGCTGCTGCCAGACAAAGCGAAGTGATGCTCCCTTCCTGCCCTGTGACCGTCACCTTGAAGTCAAACACGCAACATTCCACTTCCCCACATGGCTCAGGTGCCATGAAAACCGCACATCATCATGTCGTCCAACACGTTTCAGACCCTCCCATCACCGAACCCAGTCGTTTTCGTGTCCCTGCGTCTCTTCACCTCTTCATCCTGCCTGCGGCACAGCGGTACAACAGCATCCAGAAAAACGCATTCAATCCCGTCTTCCCTTTTACCGGCAACCACCCGAGAAGCCCGAGTCATTTCCCGCATGAACTGACAGTCTAAGAACCACCCCGGTCCCATTGGTCGCCTCCACCGCTGTGCCTCAACCCCAGACCCAGTACCACCCCCAAAGCACCAGTACCCAGAGCACCCCGACCATCCGTCCCGCCCAGCCGTGTGCCCCCCCCCCCCCAATGGCCAACCGACAAAAATGGATGGGTACTGGCTGGCTGGCTGGCCCGGCTGGCTCCCTGACTGACTGAATTGATCGCTTGTCCTGGGGGAGCGAGCGGGCCTGGATTGACCTGAATCTGAACATCTTTCCGACACTTCCAACCACGAACGGCTCTGCAGCAGACTGCATTGCGTTTTCCACCATCTCCCCCTCTCTTCTCGCATCCTCCTTCCCCCCCCAAAGAGGTCGCAATGGCTGATTCCCATCAACCCACTGCCACGACCTCGACGGCTGTCGAGATGAAGAACGACACCGCCGCCTCCATTGATGAGCCCCGGGACGCCGTTCCCATGGCCGATCTCCCCGGTGGCCCTGAACAGCCTGCCTCCTCCTCAGCCGCCGCCGCCGCTGTTGCCGTCGAGAAGACGACAGACACCACGACGACACTTCCCACAACGACACCCACAGAAGCCTCCCCAGCCGTTGCAGCACCAACAACGACCGATACGACAACAAACCACGCCGCCGCCGCCACCACAACCGCCTCCCCTACCGAAGACACAATCGCCGCCGCCGCCCCCACTGCCACCACACCTACGACCACAACACCTCAATCCCCGCGCGCCGCCCGCTCCGATTCCCTCGCCATCGGCCCCTCGGTCGAGCACGTCCAACCCGTCACGCCCGCCCACCCCTCCGACGGCCCCGTCTGCAACATCACGCTGCTGCTGACTACGGGCGCTCGCCACCCCTACCGCCTCGACGAGAAGTACCTCGCCAAGCGCAACGTTGCCGTTCCCGCCAAGACGGATGATGGCAAGAGTGACCCCTTTAGCATCAGCGTCTACACTCTCAAGGAGCTCATCCTCAGGGAATGGCGCGAGGAGTGGGATGCGAAGCCCGCGAGCCCCAGCAGCATTCGCCTTATTCACTTTGGCAAATTGCTGGACGATAAGGACCAGCTGAAGCGTAAGTCTCTTCTTTCCTTGGATTCTGCGTTGGAGGTTTGTCAATGGCACGGCTTTGGTACGCCAGGCCCAATGCCTGTTGATAGACTGGTGCTCGGCCTGCTCGATTGCCATCGTCGTCGTTGGCTGGCCCAATACCATGAGCGTGTCTGGTTGAAACACTGTCCCACCCGACTATCAACTTCTTCCATGCCCCGTGATGAACTCGCTGACCTGTCCAGAATACTCTTTCAGCGCAGAGACGGCCAACGTCGTGCACATGACGGTGCGCCCTGCGGACCTGATTGAGGAGGAGGAACCCAAAGGCGGCAGCAAGTCGACTTCTGGTGGTCGCTTGAGCGGCCAAGGCGGTGGCTGCTGCGTTATCCTGTAAACGACTTGCCTTGGGCTCACTGAGCGGACGGGCACATCTCGGATGGGACCATCTACAGCCGCTCTTTTCGCGATACACGTTCTGCAAGTGGAAGTAATTCCCTGGGTACTAGAACAACACTGCTTCTCTGTCGAGGAAACGACGCTTCTGAACCGGAATCATCTTATTCGAAGAGAGGGAACGCCTCTTTTTGGAAGAAAGACAATCTCGTCATTTCTGGAAAGGCAATGGTAGACAAAGTGTAGAGAAAGATGATGGAGAGGGGGAGAGAGAGAGAGGACGGCACGTTCGGCAGCCCATGACGGGCTTCCTACAGAGCCCGGTTTTCCGCTTGCATTGACATGTCGTGCCCCGCGCGTGTCTGCCTCGGTTGGGATTGGAAACAACGGGAGAGGCAGCTGGGAGGTCGGCGTTACGGAATCTTGTCATTTTTTTTTCTTGGTTGTGATCATCATCTGTTCTTCTTGTTCCGTCTTGTTAATTTCATGTCACCTCTGAATGGCCTCGGTCGTGTTCATTCGCTCCTTACGACACGCTCGAGTCCATGTTCATAGTTGCGAAAGAAGGGGGGAAAGGGTGGTCCACCAGCGATAAGTCATTTTTAGTTTAATGTGCTCAAGGCCCCCAGTCTCTGAAATGCCGTTTCTATGCTGTCTCGACCGACAGCCTTCATTGCTGCCCTAACACGTCATGACGCCACGGACCGTTCGGCGGTCGTTTTGCCGGATATCGTACATGTGTCTGTCTGTTTCTTGCTTCCCATACCCGTCTTTACATCTTCAGCTTCCTCTCCATCTCATCATGCATGCCCACACCACCAGCAGAGCCCATACCCTCATCACCAGGGTACACGTCCTCCCACGAGATGCTCGCGTCCTTGCCGCGGAGAATCTCCTCGTGGTGGCCGACCTGGCCGCCGCCGAGGGCGACGGGCCGCCAGGCGCCGCGGCGCGTAATGCCCAGCTCCATCTGGCGGCGGATGGGCTCGGCGGCGCCGTAGGCGCGGCGCAGCGTCTCCATGCGCAGGGCCTCCTGCGTGGCCTCCCAGTTCTTGAGGCGCGCCTCGAGCGGGTGCGCCGACGTCAGCGTCGTCGCCGGGTCGGCGGCCAGGGCGTTCGAGGCCGACGAGAGCGGCGAGGGGCCGAGGCCGGTGCGGAGCGTGTCGTGGAGGCCGGGGACCGAGGGGGCTGAGGTCGAGGTTGAAGTTGCCGTGAACGTTTGTGCGGCCGCTGAGGCGGGGACGATGCGGAGCTGGAGAGGGGGGGGGCTGCTTGTTAGATGGGATCGCCTTGTTGGGTAGCTCGCTGCCTGTTATGGGGAGACGTACGCTCATTGTGATGGTTTTGAGAGGTGGTGTGGAAGGTCGATGGTCTTGTTCTCGAGGTGACAGAGCTTCTTGGGGATATGCTCTTGCTAGGATGGTGATCTGTTGTGATGGAAGGGCGGAAGCAGATGGTCGGGCTGCTGTGGCGAGGCTGATAGCTTGTGTTGGAGCTTGCGTCGCGATAGGTGCCTGTCCGGCCGGCGGTCTGAGTGAGTGCCTGCCTCAACCGTCTCTGCTGACTACGCCTACAAAATATGGCACGTGACTAGCTTATCGTCCATGCAGGGGTCGACCAACATCCCTCGACCTCCCCTGTTCCCTGGCGCGACTTGGTGCATCACAGTGGGCCACTACAGCTTCCCCGGACTCTATTCCTCGACAAACGGGATCCATCCGACGACCAGACCCAGCAGTTGACGGATTGACGCCCTTTGCATTATGACTCTCTCACCACCACACCGCATCCACACGCGCACAATGCGACGCGCACGCTCATCATGCGTCTCCCACCCATTCTCCGCATCGCCAATGGCACCTTCTACCGCCACCATCCAAACGCAACAACGCATCTGAACCCTCCGCTCTTCGCCGATCTCACTTTTGACATCGAGGCAGATACCCAGAACCAAAAGCACTGGTGCATCGTCGGTCCATCTCTGTCAGGAAAAACGACTTTTCTTCACCTCCTGCGCGGTTCTCATCTCGCCATCCCGCCGACCTCGCGCTCGTATCCTTACCTCGCAACCGGCCCCCTGCCTCCATGGCTCCGTGGCTCTCACCGTGCGATCCGCTACGTCGGCTTCGACGACAGCCCCTCCGGCCCCGCGACGAGCGCCTACATCGCCGCCCGCTACGAGTCCCGCCGCGAAGACACCGACTGGTCCCTGCGGCAGTTTCTCCTTGGCGAGACCTCCTTCAACGAGGCTAAGCGTGACGATGCGCCCACCGCGGAACGACTCGATCAAGTCGCCGATGACCTGCGCCTGGGCCCGCTTCTCGACCTGCCTGTTGCGTTCTTGAGCAATGGCCAGGGCCGCCGCGCGAGGATAGCGAGGGCCCTGCTTACGAGGCCGGAGGTGCTGTTGCTCGACGAGCCGTTCATGGGCCTCGATCCTACTACCGTTGCTGGACTGAGCCCGATGCTCAAGGGCATGGCTGAGCGCGGCGCGCCGAGGGTTGTGCTGAGCGGAAGGCCGCAGGACCCTATCCCCGATTGGATCACACATCTTGTCTATCTCAGGAGTGACTGTCAGGTGGGCTCTATGGGCGAAAAGGACGTTGTGCTCGCTGGGCTGAGGGGCTACGTCCGGGGCGTCTGGAACGGCGGCATCGTCGAGGACGACAAGCTGCCCGTCAAAGCACTGTGGGAGATGGGCAGAACCTTGACCGCAGAGGGTGCACAGGGTGATGGTCTGGGATCTGGACTCACTGCCGACGAGGAAGTCAATACCGAAGTGTCAGCTGACGCAGCGGCGCCGCCAAGCACCGGTGAGCCCCTCGTGGAGATGAACGGCTGCCAGGTCCGCTACGGCGACAAGATCGCCCTCGGCAACTGGAGTCAATCGACACCCGCTGGTCCCAAGGACGGCCTCATCTGGACCGTGCGTCGAGGCGAGCGCTGGGGCGTCTTTGGTCCCAACGGCTCCGGCAAGACGACCATTGTTGCGTTGCTCTGCTCGGATCACCCGCAGACGTACGCCCTGCCGATCAAGCTCTTTGGCCGGAGCCGCATTCCCGAGCCGGGCTCTGGTGGCAAGGCACTCACGTTCTGGGACATTCAGGCGCGCATCGGCCACTCCAGTCCCGAGGTGCACCAACACATGCCGCGCAACCTGACCGTGCGGGCCGTCTTAGAGAGCGCGTGGGCGAGCACCTTCAGCGCCGTGCCGCGTCTCGATGACGACGCGCGGGCGAGGGTCGAGGCTGCACTGAAGTGGTTCGCGCCCGAGCTGGATCCCAGCTTCCAGTCCCGTGCTGGCGAGGGGGGGCTCGCCTGGGCGGACGACAACCTCTTCGGCAAGCTCTCCTTCAGCGCGCAGCGCGTGGCACTACTCGTGCGCGCCGTGATACGAGGCCAGGATGTCGTGGTGCTCGACGAGGCGTTTGGCGGCATGGACGAGGTGGTTGCGGGAGAAGTGCATGGCTTTCCTCGAGGAGGGCGTCGACCGCGGCGTGCCGGGGCCTGTCGGAGTCGCAGGCGCTCGTTTGCATCAGCCACGTCCGGGAGG